CATTTTTTTAATTATTATATATTGGTGATTTGGGTGCCCTTGCTCCAATAGTTTGTATCGCTTATTGTTGCATAGTTCTAAAAATATTTTAAAATAAACTCACCATTAATGAATTAGCCCAAAGGTTATAATGTTTAGCTGGAAAGTGTTCACCGGATAATCACCTGGTTCGTTGTTTTGTTCTCCAGTTAATATCAGGCACCAAATATTTATTTTATAAAAGAAGATAAAAATTATAGTTTCTACTAAACAACATCAGTAAACAGTAAAATCTATTTTACTGTAAAATATATAAAACACATTAACACAGATATGAATGGCAACTCTTTTTAGATGATGCTCTACAGTAATATATTACTGAGGACAGGCTTAATAGTCATCATTCTCTGTGACTTTTCCTGACCCACAGCATTACAGGGACCAACTACATGGCACAACACTACAAATCAGGATATTCAGAGTACCCTTCATAAGATTCTACTTGGATAGCATGGTCTGCTATACTCAAATAAAAATTCTTTACATAATTTGGGCTTTTTCTAAAATATAAATCACTCTTAACATATGTTAAACCCTAAATGCATTTAATTATACATGAGAAGTTGCAAAAAACATTTAAAGATCTCAGTAAAGGTTAAAAATATATTTTATGCTGGCAACATTTTTCATAATTAATAATGTACTAGAAAAGAATGTAAACTGTCATTAGACTATTTGAATTTGAATTTTGTCTCTGATTTTTTGTTTGACCTTGGATAAGTTACTTTCTGTGTTTAAGTGTCTTCATCTTTAAAACAGAACTGATTATATATATCCCTACCTCTTAAGATATTATGAGCACTAGATACATCAAGTGTTTAAAATAGTGCTGATAAATAATAAGCCTATTAAAATGTTAATTATTCTTATTAATGCAATGGTAACATTTTAATAAAAGCAATGGCTTAGAACATCTCTTTATTAGTAAGACAGAGAATACATTTTAAAACAAAATATCGTATTTATTTGGATAGAATTCTACTTGAAATGAGCAATGAATATCCTTATATCACCATAATTTATCAAATAGTAAAAATTTATAAATAATAACTTGAGAAGACATTCCAATAAGAATAAATCTAGAAAAAATTGCAATATGAATTTTTAAATATAAAAATTGTTATAGCATAACAGGAAGTAAAAATAAAAAGAGGTAAAAATATACTTGGCTTATTACATGATGTAAGTTTTATCCTCAAAGGTCCTTGCTATAATATATAAATAAGAAGAACTGAAAAATGCAAAGTGAAAAATGTATTCTCATATAACTAAAAAATATATTAAATAGCTGGTTATTAATATAATCTGAAACACAAGACTTTTTTTTAAAGAAAATAATATATCTCTAGAGGATAAATTGATATGCAAAAAGTGAAGTGGTACCATTCCTGCTGACACAGGTTAAAATTACTTCTTAAGTTAATTAGAATATTTAATGCAATATAAAAGTAACATGAGATTTTTAGATCTTATTAAATTAATACTATATTTAATCTAGAAAAAGTATGAAAACATAACAAAGGATATGTAAATGTCTTAAAAAGCAATAATGGTGTTGTTGCCTTATCAAAATTCATACTCTACTAACAATGAGTGATTGAAATAAAATTATATCATATTAGGTTAAATCAGAAAAACTGATTAATTGAACAGAAGGCAAATGCCACCAATACATGCATCTAATAACATATCATATTACTATTAATATTACAAATCATCCTTAAAATAGATTGTGGCAATTTATACTCCCCCAAAGTAAATGAAATCGTGTTTCTCCACAGCTTCCATGATTACCTAATGTTAAACCATTTTAAACTAGCAAACCAACAAGTGAAAATGGTACTTCATATCTATTTTAAAAATTGTATTCATTTGATTACTATTGAGGTTGAAACTTTGCAATATATTTATTGGTCACTTAATTATTTTTTAAAAATTTTCTATTTTTTAAAAGTTTTGCAAGCACATAGTAGGTGTGTATGTTTATGGGGTACATGAGATGTTTTGATATAGATATGCAATGTGAAATAAGCACATCATAAAGAATGGGGTATCCATCCCCTTAAGCATTTATCCTTGAAGTTAAAAACAATCCAAATATACTCTTTAAGTTATTTTAAAATGTACAATTAAGTTACTGTCACCCTACCCTACTCTAACAAAGTTACAGTCACCCTACTCTGCTATCAAATATTAGGGATTCTTTGGTGAAATTCTTGTTACAATTGTTTGCTCATTATTTATTAGACATTTATTTCTCTCATTGACTTGCATAGACATTTTAAAATATAAATTGCAAATATATCTCCTAGTTTGTCACTTTGTTATCAGTTTTGATCAGCTTTCTGTAAAATATTTCAAATATCTAGAAATATATGGAGAGTAGAAATATATGGAGAATATCATGTTGTGGCTAATTGGAATGAAATTTTTTTGATAAAATATTGTATATTCATTTGAACCCTAAAATGTGGTATCCTTCCTATTTTTGTTCTCTATTCTGTGTGTGTGTGTGTATATATATGGGTGTGGGTATGTTTGTGTATGTGTACATATATACACATACATATATATGTATACATATATATATGTGCTGCATATGTACATAATATATGTTCTGGGTTTTACACTTAAATGTTTTAAAATTTATGTTATCATGGCTCATTGTATCATTCTTCACCCTGCTCTTGTTTTGTTTTTGCTCAATGCTTTACTCTTGGGATTTATCTTTGTAGAAGCATGTAGAGGTTCAACTATTTTGACTATTATATTACATTTGTGATTATATTCCTATTTATTTGCAATTAATAAAAATTGTTGCACCACTAAAAACAACACTGCCATAAACATTCTTAGACTGCATAAGTTTATCACTAGGGTATATTCTGAGTGGTAGAAATTCTGGGCCAAAGGGCATGGGCATCTTTGACTTTACTAGTATGTCCAAAGAACAGTACAAAGTGTTTAGATCAATTTTGTCTACTGAAAATATATGGAGTTTTAAAAGCCAATTTTTAATATTCTTAAGTTTTGCATACCTGATTAGTTTAAAATAGTGTACAATTCCTTGAATTTGCAATTCCTTATTTAGAGTAGCTTTTGATCTTTTTTTACTTCTAGAAGTTTTTTTTCTGGTAATTTCCTTATACAAACCCTTTGATGGTCAAATTTCCTGAAAACATGTTCTTTCTATGTATAACTTGACTTTTCAGAAGAATCTTTGAATTTAAAGAAGGTTACATTTTAACATAGTTATCGCAATAATCTTTTTTATCATTTATACCTTTGTTCATCTTTAGATCTTTCCTTTTATCACAGTCATAAAGATATTCTCCTATATAGTTTGAACTTTTGAACGTTTTGCTTTTTGTATTAAAGTTACATATCTACCTGTAATACATTTTCGTGTATGTAATGATGTAAAGACTTACTTTTTTTCCCTTATGGATAATAAATTGTCTTGCAGTATTTATTGAATAGCTCATCTTTTCCTACTTTTCTTAAAATAGAGGAGTATTTCTGTGCTCTTTATTTGTTTGTACTCTTTTGCTTTTTATCCCTACATGAATTCCATGCCAAAGGTGATTCAATTTCTATATAGCTCAGTAATGCCTTGATATCTCAAAGGCAAATGCCCCCATATTCCTTCTCTTGTTTTTTTCTTCTTCTTCTTCCAAGTTTTCTTGGCTTTTATTTACCCCCTCATTCTTGTATTTGAATTTTGGAATTAGTTTCTTCATTTCCATTTAGAATGTAGGAATTTTGATTCAAATTGGTTATATTTCTTACATTGGATAGAATTGACATCCTTACAATGTTGAGTCTTCCCAGTTACCCACATGGTATATTTTCCATTTATCTAGGTCATATTTTGTGTGTTTAAATAATGTTATATAACTTCACTCTAAAGTTCTTGTGTGTATTTTTTCCCCAGTTATTCCTATATACATTCGAATTTTTTGTTGTTATTGTAATGGAATAATTTTTTTTCTATTTTTTTTTGTTTGGTATCTCCTGTGTAAGGAAATACTAAGAACATGCATAAGTTTCTTGACCTTGCAACACTTCCATCCTAGTTAGAAGCTAAGTTTTAGACTGTCCCCTATTTCCCTCAAAAAAGTAAGCAGCAGATGATAATAGGAGTAGGGATTACCACTGGCTTTACTTACACTTGTATCCGTCCCTTCCCTTACATGTGAATTTCTCTAGGTCAGGAACTCTTTTTGAATCAGTTATAAGTCCCAGAATGCCCACAGCACAATTTAATATGTACTATTTAAAAAAAGAACAAACACCTAGCCCAGGGCCTTCTGCCTAACATGTGCTCAATGACATTTGTAGAATCGAAGTTACTGAATTTGATTTAATTCAAACAATGCTTGCTCCTGCAGAATCCCAACCTACTGGTGAACAGAGGTTAAACTGTCTGGATGTTTCAGAGTTCTGCTAGGGGTCACAAATACCACCTTAAATGCTGTCAATTTAAGAAGGAGATTTTTCTTATCAGAAGCTGGAGGAAAGTGGGGCTTGCAGTAGATGACCCTAGAAAAAAAGATTGCCTGCCCAGAACTGCTGCTGGATCCTTTGATTCCCTCATTTCCCAACCTGGATGAGAAACGACAAGGGCAGGGAAGAAAAGTGGGTTAGAAGAAAAGTTGACTTGTCCCTCCTACTCTGCCTGTTACAGAAGTCTACACCAAGCCAAATGTCCTAGGATGCCTCCCAAGGGCAACTGATTTTTGGAGTTCTCAAATACGTCTTATAGAGTTTCCTCTATACCTTTAGTAACTCTCCAGCTCCCTCTCTCTCCACTCTTCCCTGCTCCCAGTCACCCCCACCCTCAACCCCCGCTGATCACATCCGCCCGGTACCCCCACAGGCTACCAGAAAACAACAGACCCGCCTCCAGAGTCCCCGTCTAGGACCTCCATGACTGTCAATGAAAGATGCCAATCACAGGCAGCCTTAGCCAGATCACTGAGAGCCCAGCAAAAAAACAAAAACAAAATCAGGTTGAGGGCAGAAAGGAAATCAACATAGCAACCTCCAATGCATGAAGGAAACTCCGTTTACACAAGCTCGTAGGATCCCCTGCGTGGAAACAGCGGCTTGTCTCTGACTACCCGGAGGACACGGAGCACCCCAAATAGGAACTTTAGAGGAATTGAAATCTGTTGCCTATTACCGCTAGGAATACTGTTTGCAAGGCACAAGGTGTCTTTTGGTAGTGAGCGCGCTCTGCGCATGCGCAGGTCCATTCGGGAATTACTGCCCAGCAGCCGACTAAGTTCCATTCCTTGAATCTTCGCAGAAAAGACAATTCTTTAATCAGAGTTAGTAATGTGGACAGTACAAAATCGAGAGAGTTTGGGGCTTCTCTCTTTCCCTGTGATGATTACCATGGTCTGTTGTGCACACAGGTGAGCTGCTGTTGTTGAATCTCTCTCTCTCTTTTTTTTCTTGGTATGTTTCTTTTTACGTGTCTGCTGGATCATATATCTTGTTGTTTGGGGGTAGGTGTGCCTGTATCTTTTTATATGTGCTCACAGTTTGTGCTCATTTTGAATACAGTCCCTACTTCTTCCCCTCAGCACCAATGAACCCAGCAACATGTCATACGTGAAAGAGACAGTGGACAGATTGCTCAAAGGATATGACATTCGCTTGCGGCCGGACTTCGGAGGTAACGCTTCATCTTTTTTCAACCTGTAACCCATCCCTAGTTCTCCTTTTCTGTCAAAGATAAATGTCAAAAAAAAAAAAAAAAGGGCATGTCATTTTCGTAAGCGTGCACTATGCCCTGGACACACACACACACACCCCACACACACTCACACACACACCGGATCCCCAGTCTCAGGTGGATGAATCCTCAGGCGGAGGCGACCTTCTCCCGGGCCGACACACCCTCTGCATAGTCACTGCATCATACGTGTGCCCACACCTGTTTTCCCAGGCTGTCCCCTGAAAGGGGTGGGGTGGGGGGAGCAGGGAGGGAGCCCGTTCAGAATGGAGTAAGGGCTGGGAAGTCCCCAGACCCTCCCCAGCCCGCTGTCACTGACAGAATCTGTCGCTAATGTGGCCCACCTCCCTGGCAGGGCCCCCCGTGGACGTTGGGATGCGGATCGATGTCGCCAGCATAGACATGGTCTCCGAAGTGAATATGGTGAGTGGCCTCCCGACGGGCCCGGCGGGCCAGCTTACGCAGATGGGAAATGAACCGGTCCCTTTGCCCTCTGCGTTTCACTGGCGGTCACCTCGCCCCTGGGCCCTGGGGTCCCACTCCGCACGCGCTCCCCACTCCGGCACACACACCCGGTCGCTCCTGGTTTGTAATTTCGACACACACGGGCTACTGCGGTGTTCCAGGGGAAACGTGCTCTGCACTATTTTGGGAAGGACGAGTGACTGTTGCTCTGTGGATCTGCTGGGGCGGAGTCTGAGCGTTACTTTAGCTGGGTTTCCCTGCGTGTTCGGATGAGGAGGGCACCATCTGCCGGCAGCTGGGCGGCCTGCACTAGGGTCCCCGGACCGGTGGTCGGCAGCCATCGCCTCCCCAGGCGCGGCCCGGGCAATCCCCATGGCCCTCTCAGTCAGCAAGCCTCGACGCACCAAGACCCTGCCACCAAGAGCACAGTCGGGGTTTCAAAGTGTTCAGGCACACCAGGTGGCAGGAGCAACAGACTAAGACAACAGTCCATGCTTGCTAGTAGGAAAAGTGCCCGAGCCTGGGTAGGCTTGTATTGTTCCCTTGCGGGAGGTTATGAATTTGTCTTACTGCATCTTGCAAATTTAAGTTGAAACAAAATAAATCAAGTCCTATTGCTTCACCTTACTCTAGAAACCTAAGCATGCCTAAAAAGCCTGATAATTTAAGGGACGTTGGAAGGGAGAGGGGGCGACAGTAACGCAGCATAGTCCTTTCATTTCAAAGGGGTCAACATTCCTTTATATACATTTTCCTTCTCTTTTTGGAAGCTGTTGCAAAATGAACTGAAAAAGGGCCACTTTCTCTGTCGGCTGGTTCCGTCCACTGTGTGTAGGAGTTTTCTACTTAGAGTTTCTAACTGTTGCTTCTTGTAAGACGGGGAAAAGCCTGTTGCTTTTCTAGAATCAGCCACCCAGGGATCAGCTAGATCTACGTGAGCAAAATGCCATTTTTATTCCACTTGTAAAAAAATATTATGGCGGCAGAAATTTATAAATCCTGAATAATTTAAAGAGTAAAACCATTTGAGATTGTATCACTCTATGGCTATAAAGGCTATTGAATTGTCTTTCATTTCATTCCTACTGTGTCGTTTTATTTTAATAGGCTAGGGGTTTAAGAATTTTTTTCTTTTCCTTTTTAGGTTATGTTAGGGAAGAAATAAATATGTCTATAGCTTACTGAATAGGAATAGAATAAAAGGTGTGACTATTTAATTTCTGTATTTTGTAGTTGTAGCGGCTCCTGCTTCAAATAGCTTATTTAAAATACTATTTTTAGATGTCTCTAATTGTCGTGCTGGAAAAAGAAACTCAATTTTAAAAATGTAATACACAATGAATATTTTCTCATTGGCAAACTGACTTATTATATTCTGTTTACATACATGTTAACACTACAAAGTAACCCAAAACACACTATTTAGAAACACTTTGAGGAATGTAATAATATGTGTACATACACAAATTGTGCCTAATCTACACAAATGCAACTGGACAAATTAGACAATGAATTAGCTTAACAAGTTGCATCATGTAGATTAATAATGATAATATTTTCCTTTTCAATCATTTACTTTGGTATCTTGTAAACATCCACAGAAAATTGATAAAATAGAAGATTTAAAAAGCTCAAAAAGCAAATGCAGTCTTTGTTCTACCTTGCCATGCAGAGTGCCATGCTTTTCAGAATTTTAAAAAATATATGATTCTGTTGGCTATATTGACATACCCCTTTTCAGTTTTTTTAAACTCAATTAAATGGGAAGTTGCTGCAATCAACAACCACCATAACAAAAAGTTCCGTATAATCAGTTGTTCAACTGAATTCATACATAAGCTCAGAACAAGGATTGACTTTAACTGAAATACCACTGGACATTTCTTCCTAATGCTTAAATAATACAGTCTGTTTACTCATGGCAATACGTGTATATGCACTTGATTTTTCAAAAATATTCACCCAGCTGATAAGCCTTTGAAAATACATATTCTACTACAATCCCCATTACCTTTCCACAACAATGTTAGAGACATGATTAGAAAATAGAAACCACTCAAAGCTGAAAAATGATAAACCTTGATTTACTTGTTCTTTCCTGTTTCTCCTTTTAATGAGCACTATCAACAGAACCCAAAGTTTATTTTATCTTCTCTCATCTATGACAAAACATTGAAATAAATAGATTAGAAATAACTCCAAGAAAAATGGAAATAAAGAGTAATGTTTTTAAAATTGAGGGTTCTGTGTAAACACAACTCAGAGGATTAGCCCACACCCCCAAAAGAGAATTGCTTACTATATGTTGTGATTTTAGATGATATAAATAGGATTGGAAATCCATGGAAAAGAAGACTTATTGCTTATTGCTTTTTGTATTAAGCATGTTTCAGTACCCTGATAGACCGTAACTTTTGAGTAATTTAATAGAAAATTTTCATCAACATTAAATGACAAAAATATAACAACAAGAATGGACAAGAATATCACAAAAATGGTTTTTAAGAAAATGCAAGTTAAATCAATTTCTAAAACATTGTTTATATTTATATTTTTGTTCCTTACCATTATTACCCATTCCATGGCTGGGAAAATGAAATAATTGTGCATTAGATTAGTGGATTTGAGAACTAGATTCCATTCGTTTTTGTTTTTTTTCTTTGCTTCCCCAAGTAAAATATAGTCCCTGATTGGTTTTTACATTGTCTGCTTTAAAAACTAACATCATATCAAGAGTATTTTCTGATTTCTCAATTTGTGAAAAATTAATTGTTTTCTTAATTTTCCACAAATTAAAAAACAAAAGCAATCTTTACATAGTAAAGAATCTCTATAGTCAAGAATCATTGGTTCTAAGCAGTGAATGCAAAAATTGTGAAGAATAATTCCAATGCAGATAAACATATCTATTTGAGAACAAGACTTTTCATGCAGTAATATTATTGATTAAATTAGAAAGGATTGTTGTTCTGGCATCACGGGATATATTGTTTGTGTGATAGCAACTACATACTGTTACCATTTTCTAAACTGTCATCTTAAAAAACCACCATGATTTCCATTTATGTAGTATAACCTTCAAACCTTGTCTTTTAACAGTTTCTGCCAAGGCATAGACACACACACACACACACACACACACACACACACACACGTACACACACAGAGGACTGATTAAAGATGAACAGGAGGCAGTCGGAGTAAATGGAGACAAGAGCTCCCAGAAATTGTCCTTAACATAACCACTAACATCTGCTACTATAAAGCCAGTAAGACACAGACAGTAGTAGGCAAGTTTTCTCTTCAAACAGTAGTTTGGGGAAACATGATATTAACTATCTTCTCACAAGTAGTTGAACTCTTGTATTTCAAATTCCAGTGACTTAGCTGTTCCTTCTTATTCAAGAGGTGGATCCTGATTACCAAGTAGGAGTTCCAACCAGGCAGCTCTCTGTAACTAATCTGAAGACACGATGGTCCATATGGCCATCCCTAGAAGACCTTACATCGAATGAGTCCTGACTCAACGCAGGATTCAATCCAAGCTGTTCCCAATATGAGATAGCTATCATGGATTCATTGTCTTTCCTTCCTTCTTGCATGAATGAGTATAACAGTGAATGCTCTTACAGACATTACAGTGAACAATGATGACAAAAATGAAAATGAGCCAATTTTATAAATAATGCTTAAGGAAAAACAAATTTAATTTCCCATATATCCACTTAAAATTCATTGTTTCTGTTGTGGTGGTGGTTATCTTAATATTAGACTCTGGAAACGTCTGGTACATACTTCAGTTATATCTCATTACTATCACTGTGTGACTCAAAACAGTAACTGCTTGTCAGATTCCCAGTCCCCACATGCATTTCTCTAGGTCAGTGCTTCTCAATCTTTAACATATAGGTGAATCACTCTGGGATCTTATTAAAATGCAAATTCTGAATCAGAGGTGTGGGATGGGGCCTGACATTCTGCATTTTCCTGGGCAATGCTGATTGCTGGTATGTAGATTGTACTTTGAATATCAAGGTAGTACATTATCCTAAGATATAGCTTCATTAAGAAATTGGCTGGGTGCAGTGGCCCCCACCAATAATCCCAGCACTTTGGGAGGCCGAGGTGGGCAGATCACTTGAGGTCAGGAGTGTAAGACTAGCCTGAACAACATGGTGTGAAACCCCGTGTCTACCAAAAGTATAAAAATTAGCTGGGTGTGATGGCACGTGCCTATAGTCTTAGCTACTCTGGAAACTGAGGCATGAGAATCACTTGAACCTGGGAGGCTGGAGGTTGCAGTGAGCCAAGATCGTGACACTGCACTCCAGCCTATGCAATAGAGCAAAACAAAAAAAAAAAAAAAAAAAGAATAAAAAAGAAATGAACATTTTTTTTTCTTTCAAATTTCTTTAGGAATGTTATTATTTAAATTGCAGGTAACTGTTCTCTAAAGAGAAAGTTAATTCCATAACTGATAATGATGATGATGATGATGATGATGATGATGATGATGAGCAACAGGACAAAGGCAGGATCCTGGAGATGGGAGATGGGACTTGACCTAAACTAATGAATAGTCTTCTTATCTGTATTAATACCTGTGAATCAACCAATCTCAAATGATGGCAATGAAAACATTTCCAAGTACAGTAACTCCACAATACTATTCTGTTGCTTTGTAGGGAAACCTATGACTTTTTTCTTCAGGATAAAGAATATTGCAAACTGTTTTTCCACCACTGAGGAGCTAGCAACAAGTTTGTAAAATAGCCTAAACATACTCTTGATGCTGTCAGTAAATTCTCTGAGGTTTTAATAGAATTTCCTTTGCAAACAGAACAAATAGGTGAGTACCACTCAAAAGCAGAAAGAAGTATTAGCTAGCATATAAATACATTTTATTCTTATATGAGTAATCACAAAACGTTTTTCTTTTAGGTTGTGGGTTACAATTT